AGCTGTTTAACTTTTTAGCCATACAAAGTAAAATCTTTAACGAAAGTTCATGATAATGTACAAATATTAAGTTAGAGATAAAACCTAGTTAATTATTCCATCAGGTTTCTATCGCAGATAGTTCAATAATCTCCTTTCAATAGCACGAGTGCATCTGGTGAACTCATAATGACATTAGTTAAAAATTCATCATAAAGAAATCGTTTGCTTCATTTGACACCATTAATACGAGCGCTAAATCATGTCTCGGGCTATCCAGATTCGAAAACCGCGACTCGAAGCGAGATTTATTGCATCACATACTGGTGGCAAACGCGATTTCTAAACGAGCGAGCGTATCCTTTTTCAGACGCCACTTAATATGCGCCGGGAAGCGCATACCACGTGTCCACATTTAACGGTCGCGAAACAGTTTTGGCATCGTGTGTTTAATTTCTCTTTTCTCCATCAAAGTAGCGTATTAGTACTCGTTTCTGTAAGATTCGGGTCAGTGAATTTATTATTACTCGAGCGGCGAACGCGTAACGTTACAAATACATAATCAAAGTTGCCTTCGGAAACAATTTCATTGTACATGCGTTGTAATTGTCAGAAAAGAGATTATATATTAAAAAGAACATGCATCCTTTCCACCAATCTTAATTACAGGTGACTATAGGGATGCTGTAACAAGAACTATCAAAAATGTGCTATATGGATGACTCTTTCCTCCTTCGCAATACATATTGCGAACGCGCCTTCCAATGCGGTTAACGCATCTCTCTTCATTCGCGCGCTTATTGAAAATTCCCACGTTCCTAAAATACACCAAAAGCGCTGTCAAACTGCGATAGAACTTCGTTTCATTACAATCGACTTGACGAGAAAACTCGTCGAGCAAACCTGTGGCTACGGATAATTTTGCAATTTTTGTGTTCTCTGATGACTGCTTTCACTGTCATATGTGCGGACACGCACATGAAAAAGTAAAAACCAAAGAAGAAAAAGGAAAAAGGAAATTACGATAGTATAATCAACGCAAGTTCCGGTCGGTTAAACGCGGTTAGATTGCTGGTTTCGTTTCCATGATATTTTCGGTGCGCGCCATCGAAACCGGATTTCAGGATGGTACCACTCACCTGCAATGTGACCTTGAAAGGTTCTTGAAGTCGTTCCCGCTCCAGCAGGTAAGCTATAGCACCGGGCATCGCGTCCACCCCCTTGGCCTCTCTCGCGCCAAGATACCAAACGTAATAGAAGCTCTTCTTGACATCTTTGCTACCCCTTAGGCGCAGAGCCATCACTCACTGTTCATGAAAACAAACGGATTTCATCATTTCATCTTCTTCGGCTTGTTATCCAGGAAACGAATTGATACGGTGAATGCGTTGGATTGTGGATGACCCGTTAGTGGGCGTATTCGACACTTAATCGACTCATCGGATGAGTGCCGTCGATTTATTTGATTTTTTTTTTAATTCAAGGTTATAAACAATAATTTTCTTACAATATTTCTGCTTTCGAACTTTAACTCTATAGAAAAATAAATATATCATAGCGTAATGATAATTTAATATTTGAAAGTACATGCCATTACACTAAGAAAAAAATTTAATAAATCTTAATATTAAACATATATTTTCAATAATACTATCTTAATATTTACTTAATAAAAAATGTTCACTTGATAAAAAAATGATAGTTTAAATGTGTGAATGATTCTTGTACATATATATATATATAAATGTTATTTTAAATTTAGTAAATATACAGTTAGTATCATTTGAATCAATATTTATTAAAATTTAGTACATTTTTTTCAGTGTAATAGAACCTGCGATACAAAGAGATAATATTAAGTCTTACGACAATTCGTCGTTTTTAATTACTGTGACGTTTTTAATTACTGTGGGTGCGTTCAAGGAGATGTTGTTAATGCTATTCATGTCATTTTATTCTTGTTTTATATAATATAGAATGATATATAATATAGATAAAGATAGAATGACACAAATAGCGTTAATAATCTAACCGAACGCACCCGAGATTTTTTAATATTACGAATATTAATATCTTTTAATATTTGAAATATTCAATGATAAATTAAAAAATCGTGATAGAGGTGTTGTAATGTTAAATAGCTGAAACGAAGTCTTTTATATGATGGATAACGAGGATATATTTTGCGATAACGCGAATGTTATAGTGCACGCTCACGCGCGGAAGTGTTTGTTAGAGGTACGGAAATTGCGGATAATCTTACTATCGCGTGAAACATAAACGGACACTATTTCCCTTATAATTTTTCTTTAATTATACACTATGCCTCTCGATTATGAAAAAATGTCAATTTTCCACAAGCCAGCGTTTTTTATCTGTTCGCTTCTCGAGGAGCATGAGCGAGCCTGTCGGTTCATCCACTTCCTCAATTACTTTCACGCTTAAACCCGTTTCTACGTTATCCATCTCGCGGCAGATCATTTCCCACTGATCCTTAACGACGGTACTTTATAACAAAAATATTTTGCAAAATGAAAATGTGTTGACTGCTGATTGAATATCACGATTGAACAAGAAAGATCAATGAGGAAAACTTGCATTTCTAACATGGTAACTCACCTCAGTGAGTATCAATTTTTGATGTTCTATCATTCTATTATATTTCACTCTACTATTATTCCAATTAAGTTAAATTTCTAAAATGAAATATTAAATTTTACGATTTTACAATAATAAGTTAAATAAAATCGCAATTTTTCGCAATAAATTCTTTGATACTGCTAATAGCGCACATTGTTATAAAATCAATTCAAAATTTATAAGATTATTATTTTAGTTTACGATTGCGTTGCAAGTTTGTAGTAATTGGCAACCAGTTTATATAACTGAAAGATGTATTTAAAAATTTACATAGAAATATTATTAGGTACCAATATCTATCTTTGATTTTATTTGGTACTTTCTTTTTTATTTGATTTTCCATCAAATATTTTATATTAGTGAAAAAAATATGCGAATTCCTTTTATTGAGGCTCACTGGGCAGTTGTCTGTTCTTATTTTAAGATCGTCTTAAATGTTTAATAATGATAGTTGATATTACTCTGATCGGCTTATGACATCTTAAAACTATGCTTAAGACAGTCTCAAATGTAAGAATTGACTATGAACACTAGACACTGTGTTTGAAATACTTTTAGATTCATATTTGCCTCTCTACTGTTTGATTTTTATATCAATAATCCATCACAACTCAAGTAAGCTTCGCGCATTTCTTTTCCACTGATGATATATGCGCGTACCGAATTTCAAATTTCTTGATTGTATCGTCCCAAATTTGAATGGTCACATTCTTTCAAAAAACACTTTCGAAAAGTTAACTTAATCGATTTTCACATTTAAAAAGAACGCATTTTAAAAGTCGCTGGCGTTTTAAATTTTAAAAAGAATCTCGATTAAAAAAAAACAGCGGCAAACGATTGAAACACATATTGTGACGATATTTAAAAACATTTAAAATTATTTCATCGGAATCGATCGTAACTGGTGGCTCTACTGAGAGCCCTAGTCTTCCTACAGCAGAGAAGTATATATACTGAAATCCTATACTAACACACTATCGTAGGTCGTAACTTGCCTGTATATATATATATATATATATATGTCGGAGGTCTTCGCTTCGCGTTTCGCAGCTATCCAAAGGAAAATCCGCGAAATTCGCGTGCGATATCTCGGTCCTGCGCAACGAAACACGCGCGTTTCCCGTCACTCGTCAGTCGTCACATGCACACGACCGTGAGTGCACGAACACGATATGTACACCTGTAACTCGCGGCCTCGTCTGACAGCTGCGGGAACCTAACCACTTTTCCACGGGGCATGGGGCCGTAAGGCCGCTCCGCGTTCTGCCGAGTGACGCTGAACCTGAACGCTCGTCGATCTGAACGCCGGGAACGGGACGGAACGGAACGGAACGAGGACCAGGAGAGCGGGCCCCTCGCCTCGCCAGTCGCCGCTCGCGACTCGCGAAGAAGCGAAATCGGCCTTCTTCGAGGCCCCTCGGCTCAGCTCGCCGATCTGTTGCACACCGAGAACGCACCGAAACTCATTTCGGGCATATCGATATGCTGAATTCCGTGGGGATAATGGAGGATACCATTATCCCTACGCGAGCGAGAAAGAAGAAAAAAAAGAAGAAAAAAGAAGCTAGTAAACGAGGGAGAGAAGAAGCGATGGTGAGAGATTTGACCGCAGGGGTTTTACGCCCGGCCCTATGGCAACCTCTCACGCTTGTTCCGAAGGTCTCTGACGTCTCCCCGATCTTCTCTGCCCTTTCTCTCGCTTCTCCTATATTCCCCGCTCTCTATCTGACCGCCACACCTTCACGAAGATCGACTTGGGATCGGCCGCGACGGTAACGCGCTCCGCTCTCGGCAAGAGAAAGAGAGAGGCTAGCGACTTCTAACTGCCGGCGCTGCCGGACAGATTCCGTCCTGAATTCGTGTCTCGAATCCCTCTCGCCTGTTCTTCGAAGAAGAAAGAGAGAGGAACGGTCTTTTCCTCTCTCCACCCATGCCTTTGCTCTTTTTTCTCTTTCTCGTGTCTCTTCCAATGACATCTCTCTCTCTCTCTTTCTCTCTCTCTCTCTCTCTCTCTCTCTCTCTCTTTACCTTTCGAGTTATCTACCTGTTCGCGTCTTCCTTTCATGTTGCTCGTTTCATTATACATTTCTTTGGACTTTTACTGCACCGATCGTAGTAGAATACAAGTCCAAAATAAAACGAAGGGACAAAAAAAAAGATAACTAATTTTATGAATTTCTTTTTTACCAGATATAAAATTTTAATTTTTCGATCCCTTTGGGTCTCTCTTCTTGCGTTATTTACTAAAAATTCCATCAAAATACACTCAGAAAAAGAGAAAGAGAGAGGAGGGAGGAGAGAGGTAAAATAAAGCCTCTGCGAGAGTGCATCTTCCTTCCGCACTTACATCCGTATATAGACATCACAGGCTCGCTTCATCAGATGCCAGATACTTCAGAATACAAAGATTGGTGATCGATGATTTTAAATGGATTAGCTGCTTCATATCAAAGATGACAGATACAGAGAAATCACGAGAAAAATGAGAAAATTGATGGATGAGTTTACTCGGATTTAAACGATATCTATTGCACAATCATTTAATTTGCAATTTTAACCGACTCGATAAATGAGTCATATGATATTCAAGATTTATCAAGCGATTTAACAAATGTTTGCTTGAATCATCTGGTGTAAATATTGCCTCACCATTTGATCGCGCATGGTATTTTCTTTTCAACTCGAATTATATATAATTTATAAATACGTAAACTCTATTACCTATCTATCTCCTTTCTTAATAATTGTATTTATATAGAATTGTATTTATAGAATATTTTCTAAGTACTTTTACAATCTCTTAAAATTATAAAAGCAGATTACATGTTATTAACATCATTAAAAGATTTACATAAGTATCAGCATTTATCCAATTAAAGCGATCATCATAATCAAAGAAATTAAAAGATTCTTAAGAGAGTGACAAATGATGAAAAATTTATTTGAGGATGTAGAAAATAATTTGTAGAAAATAATAAATTATCGTAAAACGGGTTTATTTTCTTGAGACAGGAAGCCTGCCATTTTATAGCGGCGTATGCATCACAGAGGGAAGTTCAATCTAATCAAAGTAACGGCTTGTAACGATTGCCGCGCTCTGAAACGCTCATAGAAACGTGTTTACATAACTTAAAATAAGTAAGATGTTTGGGTACCTAATCGCGGGCAAAGATACGCAAAACCGGAAGGGACTTTGAGTGAAGTGTGATGACATTTAAATAAAATATATTGAGAAAGTGCATGCGGTCGATAATGGAACTCGCACAAAGCTTATGCGAAGCAGCTGCTGGCAAATTGTGAAACATAATGCCCTTCTTAAAATTAAAAATTAAAAAATTTTTTTGCAAATGAATATGTTCAAATAAAGACGTGTTTCTATTTGTTTGTTTTTTATGTAAAATTTGTTGTTTATGTAAAAATAAATTATAATTCCCTTTGTTTAAAATAAAAAAAGAATGATGAGATAAATTTACTGTTGTATATTTTTTAAAAGATCAAGCTACTTGTGGGAACGGTGGAAATAATATACCGCTACTAAACAATAAAATTACTCATGTTGATGTCGTTTTATTATCATTTGCGTGCATAGTGGAACTCAATTTTTGAATTTTATAATACAAGTATTGTTAGCCAAGCTTGAATTAAATCTTAATAATTTGTTCGATGAAATTAA